TTGTTCTAGGTTGTACCTGTACCAGTGGACTGTATCTGTATGTTTGTTGCCTTTGTTCTAGGTTGTACCTGTGCCGGTGGACTGTATCTGTATGTTCATTGCCTTTGTTCTAGGTTGTACCTGTATCAATGGACTGTTTCTGTATGTTCATTGCCTTTGTTTTAGGTTGTACCTGTGCCAGTGGACTGTATGTGTATGTTTATTTCCTTTGTTCTAGGTTGTACCTGTACCAGTGGACTGTATCTGTATGTTTGTTGCCTTTGTTCTAGGTTGTACCTGTACGAGTAAACTGTATCTGTTTGTTCATTGCCTTTATTCTAGGTTGTACCTGTGCCACTGGACTGTGTCTGTGATATCAAAGAGGCTTTTATGGAGTGTTCCCAGTCAGAGGGATTCGAACTTCATGAGATACCCAAACATTCAGATTTAAAACAGGTACATCTTGAACAAAAAAGGAAATGTAGGAGACATGTATTATTTCTTCATCGCCAGAACTATATCTACAGGGTATTTTGGTCTACTGAATGCTTTGAGGTCAATGCATAGCTCATAGACCTGATAATGTAAAAGCTATAATCATTCTACTACCTTAAACTATCATTTATCTTAAAATAAAATTTAGCTTTAAATCTTATTCAATACATGTTTATATGCATAAGATTTTTTTCTATAAATTGTTGTTACTTTATCAACTTTGTAGTAGAATGATGAAAATAAATTACACTGCATGCTATTGTTATGTTCTATCAAAGTACGCTTCATCAGGGATGCCGTCAAATTGTCTGGTTGACAATGCCCAATCAAACAATTATTCATGTCAATTTCACTTCCTCCATTTGATTGTAACCAGTCTATGATGGTGTTTTTCCTGTGTCCTGCTTAATATATATCAACGTATATATTATATACGAGTGCTTTTTTACCATTCCCACAATCACAAATCAATATTTCTGTTACTACAGTATATAACTGTGGCTAGTTTTATATTTACAGATAGTACCTCCTGGTGCTCCCTACTTTTATGCAGAATTACCATCAGGAGACAAACTTTTACATAGGATATCAAAGAACTTCCCTCTACAGTTTGGCAGGTAATACTTCACTTTCTCATACGGCACAAGAGTTTCCTGTGTTTATCTTATAGGAAATGAATTTCATTGTTACAGTCTATATTTGTTTAAACTTTCCTCATGGAAGATTTTTTTCAGTATAGTGCATAGTGACAAATGAATGACTGAAAATTTAAATACATTGTATAATGTATACTTAGGATATCAATACCCTGATCAAGATATTAAGAAGGCAAACATGACTCGTGTCTTTTAATGTAAAATCATTTACTGCATGCTTTGTTATTTCTTTTTTGATGGATATTTAGAGTATATCACATCGAATGTTTTCCTGTAACAAAAAGCTTAATTACTTGGATTGAAATCTTTGAAGATAAGAATATTTAAAAGGTGATAAACTATGAGATTTAATATTTTTTTTGTCTTAATTCTTCATTGCTGTATTTCAGGGATGTACTGGCAAGTCCACAGATACTGAACATGACAGAGCGTGTGGATTGGAAAGCTTGTAAGGTCAGCAAGGAGCAAGAAGGAGACCTAGCTTCAGACTTTAAATCTGTCTTCTCAGCCTTTGACTTTACTGATTTGGACTAAGAAAGCGAACAGCTGCAAATATGTGACTTAAAATGCTTCTGTGGAAAAGGATCACACTAAACAGTTGGTGGAGTGTCTATCAGAGTAGAAACAGCTGAGAGCTTAACTGATAAGGTAAAGTGATAACCATGACTCAGAACTTAGACCTCTTGAACATGGAGTTGTCATAGGTGTGATCAAACCCTGTGGAACAATGAAGAGGTTTCCGATTCAAAATCAAATGTGTTTGACCTTAGATTATTGTTGTTGAGTCAAGACTATTAACTTATACTGACTGGATGTTAAGGATGGTCTACTGTGACAAGGAATCCATCCCCATCTGAGGAAGGATCAGATGAGGAAGGTTTATTCAGAATGACAAGATTGAGCACTGCAAATCATGCTTTTTGAACCTCATTAACATGTGATAAAGATATTAAAATAAATACAGGACAAGTGACCATCTCCTGCATGGTTAACACTGAAACTGAAACAATAACCAATTATTTAAGAAATAATGGTTTCTCAGATCATTTTTATCCTACAGAAAATGTATGTCTACCAACAGTCAAGAGGAAAGTTAATATATCAGTTGCCTCTCATTTTGAAAAGATAGTCCATCAACAAAACAATAACTTACAGGTGGACATTTTCTCTGTAACACTTTTTATTTTACTATGAATCACTTACCAACAGGTATATATTTTTATAATAACTTTCCAAGGGTAATTCATTACAAGTCCATGGGTCTGTAGACTGTTTATTCAAAATCTTCAGGCATTGGTAGCTCATGGAAATCTTCCATCAATGATTCATATATCTCCTGTGCTTTTAACAAATACATAAGGCTCATGATCATATTATTTTACATAGAGCTTGCTTGGCTGAAGCGATCTGAAGTTTTATTCAAATAAATAGCATTGTCCCACATTCAAGGTCACAGGGGTCAAATGTGTAAAACACTTTTAAACAATATTTTGTCGAGAACCTGACCATGATATTTGGCCTTAAATTTGTTGGGATAAGTAGCTGTCAAGTTGTTCAAAAGGATGACTTATGAATCACTTTCAAGGTCACAGGGGTAACATGTGTTAAACACCCTATATAAAGTTTTATCAAGAATCAAAATGACCAATGATATGTGAGGATGGAAATAAAAATATTTAAAAGACTTCATCTCATATTTGTTATCACTTGACAACACTGACTTTTGCTTGACAATCTTTTTTAGACAGGATAACTCTGACTATTGTAACTATGATTGCATATGTAATATATCTCATTTATGTAGTTGCTGTTGACCACGCTATTGTTTGTCTTGACAACTATATTGTCATTTAGTCTGCTGTAATTGAAACTGTTTAAAACAGCAGTTGACAAGCTGAAATAGAATACAATTTTAAAGTTAGGCAAATCAGATTGCTATACACGAGTAAAAGTCTATGCCAGAAGCATGTAAAGACTAAAGGGTGGGGTAAGTGCTTACAAGGCAGAATATTGATGCAACAAAATGGCGGCAAACCCCCCGTATGCAGGAAGAATCCTAGCAGTTGCAATTTTCTGTGTCCTGGCCCCTTGATTATATGACATTGATTCCTTTATTGAAAGTTTTGCCTACACCATAGGCAAGACATGCGAGTGCATACCACTACAATGTTTCTGTCCCACATACAACAACCAGGAACCCTGAATGAAGGAGTCAAGGACATTTAGTAAATTGTTCAACTCATAACCTGCAGACTGCCCATGTCATTCGTTTTACCAGATTGGTCTTCAAGTATTCTTTCGTTTCCTCAACTATTCCAACATTTGGTGTTAAAGTATTTAGCACACCTGCCCAAAGGGCAAGTGAACTATGTCATGGCGCGGCGTCTATCGTCTGTCAGTCATCCAGCGTCCTTCCGTCGTCCATCAACTTTTCCTTTAAACGACTTCTTCTAAAGAACTGAAAGGTATAGAATTTTCAAATTTGACTGGTAGCTTCCTGGGATAGAGCCTGACAAAGTAGGAGAATGAAAATGATCTTGACTTATTTTCAAGGTCACAGTGGTCAAATATGTGAAAGGCTTCAAAAAACTTCCTCTGAAGACCTAAGAAGTATAGAATCTTCATATTTGGCTGCTTGCTTCCTAAAACAGAGCCCGACAAAGTTTGAGAATGAAAATGACCTTGACCTACTGTTAAGGTCTCGAGGATCAAATGTGTCAAACACTTCAAATGACTTCTTCTGAAGAACTAAAAGGTATTGAATCTTCATATTTGGTTGGTGTTTTCCTGGGATAAAGCTTGACTAGATTTGAGAATGAAAATGACCTTGACCTACTTTCAAGGTCTCGGGGATCAAATCTGTCAAACACTTCAAATGACTTCTTCAGAAGAACTGAACGATATAGATATAGATATAGATAGATGCTGGTTGCTTCCTGTGGTAGAGCCAGACAATGTGTAAAAAAAGAAAATGATCTTGACCTACTTTCAAGGTCACAGGGGACGATTATGTCAAACAATTAAATGACTTCTTCTAAATAATTTTAGAGCAAAGTATTATAATATTAGGTGGTAGCTTCCTGGGATGGCGGCTGACAAAGTTTGAAAATGAAAATTACCTAGGTAGATCTCCTTATGAGGTCACAGGGGTCAAATATGCCAAACAACTTCTTAAGAAGAACCAAAAACCATAGAATCATATTTGACTGGTAGTTTCAACAGATGGAGCTGACAAAGTTTGTGAGTGAAATATTTATAGCACAGGATAATATTTAATGAGAATATTTTGCTATGACTGCTTTAATATTCAGGTGAGCGATACAGGCCCTCTGGGCCTCTAGTTATTTCTGTGAGTCTGTGTTAAGGTTTTATATTTCTACGAGTCGGTGCTTGCGTTTTATATTCCTTTTAATCGGTTTTATATTTCTATAAGTCGGTGTTAAGGTTTCATATTTCTATAAGTCGGTTTTGCATAACTAAGTTGGTTTTAAGGTTTTTCTATAAGTTGGTGTTCAGGTTTTACATTTCTTTATTTGGTTTAGGTTTTAATTCATATTAGTCGTTTTATATTGGTTTTATATTTCTATAAGTCTTTGATAAGATTTTATATTCCTTTTAGTTTGTGTTGAGGTTTTATATTTGAATTAGTCCATGTGAAGGTTTTGTAAAGTTTTCATATTCCTTTTCGTCGGTGCAGAAGTTATATATTCTTTTTAGTCAGTGTTAAGGTTTTATATTTCTTTACGTCTGTGTTAAGGTTATATATTCTATTTGTAGGTCACCACCCAAGTTTTTTTTATTTCTATGAGTCGGTGTTAAGGTTTAATATTTCTATGAGTCGATGTTAAGGTTTTATATTTCAATTTCTCGGTCTTAAGGTTTTAAATATTTCTATGACAGATGAAGATGGTTGTGAGTAAGATCAGAATAGGACTGAAAAGGAGATATTTGATGTGCTAATAAATGGACTGGATCAGGATGTTAAGTCAGTTGTATTAGGAAAAGAAGCTACAACTGTAGTAGACATCGTGAAGTTTGGTTGCATGTCAAAGTCGATCGGACATTCGGACAAAACAAAAGATGTAACAGACACAATTCAAAACCTTCAACAGGAACTTTCATTATTGAAGAAGGAATGTAAGACCAGCAAGCAAGAACTTAACTAGTTAAAGGAAAACAGATCGAACAGACAAAATGGACAGAGAACAAGGAATCCATGTGACCACTGTTGTAAGTACCAGCATGATGCACCTAAATGTTGGTTCCAAGATGCAGAATGTCTGTAGATCTCTGAAATTGAAAAAGTCATGGGGGGGAAGCATAATCAGAGAGTAAAAAGGGGTACGTGTCTGTCTTTAAAGTTAAAGACGGGCATAATGACAATAAGCATTAAGACAATAAGAATTAAGACAATAAGAATTAAGACAATAAGAAAAAGGGTAAACAACTGAAAAGAACAGCACAGGTGTTAAGTTAGATGTAAATGATTATCAGATACATGTAAGACTAGGAAATAAGACATATGTAGCTTTGGTAGACACGGGAGCACAAAGGATTTCTTGCATAGATAGAAAGATGTTTGAGGCAACCAATCTAGGAGAAAAGTTTGCAGTAGAGAGTTCAGATTTAAAATGGTTGTATAGTGCTAATGGTAGTGACATAGGAATCAAATGAAAGGTGACACTCCCCATCTCAATAGGACGTATGGACATGATACAAACATTTCAGGTGGTAGAAAGTCTGAGTTTCCCAGTCATTCTAGGTACAGACTTCTTTGAAAAACATCAAGCAAAGATAGAATGCGGGAATGGTAGCTTAGAGTTAGAGGGAGGTATAGCCATGGTTGCTTTTATACAGGCAAATAATAGGAAAAGGACAAGGTTAGCAAGACTGGTTTGTAATATACAAATAGCCCCTAGGTCAATGATAATGGTCCCAGTCGTAATAAAAAGTAAGGAAAAAGAGCTTAAGTTGTTAGGGCCAATCTTCAGCCTTCCATCTAAGCATAGTGTAATGGGGACCCGGATTGTGTCCAAAGTTAAAAACAACAAAACTGTATACCAGGCACTGAACCCCACCTATTCCTTTGTTGGCCTTATGGCTAGGCAACCTATAGCCCTGGTTACCTCAATAAGTCAGGGGGCAAAGATGAGCTTTCAGAAAAACAGTCACCAGCTGGTGACTGCACTGCTTCTCTTAGTACTGGTAAAAAGTTTATGACAAAGGAAAACATCAGCATAGCTGAAGATTTAGGTGTAAAGGTGAATTCGGAGGCTTTGTCAGAAGAAGATAATAGCATTCTTCTAGCTTTTCTTGGTGAGAATAGGGATGTCTTTGCTAAGGACTTGTCAGAATTGGGAACTACAAACCTGTATTTCTACGAGATAGACACAGGTGACACAAAGCCTGTAAGACAAAGGTTCTATAGGACCTCACCGCAGGCTAAGTCAGAAATAGAAAAGCAGACAAAGGAGATGTTAGAGAACAAGATCACTGAAGAGGCCAACACACCTTGGCAACGTCCAGTATTGCTAGTAAAGAAGGCGAATGGTGAGTACAGGTTTGCTGTTGACTATCGCAAGGTTAACCAGGTCACTTTACCTACATGGTATGAGCCTTCCTATTCCCAGGTTTGATGATATATCTGACACCATAGGTCAGGCTAAGGCCAAATACTATTCTAGCTTAGATTTAAGAGCTAGAGTTTGGCAAATTCCAATAGCAGAGGATTCTAAACATAAAAAAGGGTTTGTCACTCATCAAGGGGTATATCAGTTGACCAAACTTCCATTTGGTCTTTCAAATTCACCGTCAGCATTTTCATTGGTTATGTCCGAGGTGTTGAGAGGTCTGACATACAAGGTTGCACTCGTCTATATAGATGACATACTTGTTTTTATCCTCAACTTTTGGAGATCACTTAGACCACTTAGCTCAGGAATTTCAGAGGTTGCGTGAGGCTGATCTGAAGTTTAAAACCCTCAAATTGTAATTTTGCGGTTACAGAGATAAAATACTTGGGTCATATTTTCACAAAGAATGGTATCAGTGTAGACCAATAGAAAATCAAGGCAGTATTCCACTCCTTAGTCAGTGCATGATATCAGAGCATTCTTAGGATTATGCAACTACTATCGAAGGTTTGTTAAAGGATTTACAGAGATTGTAGCACCCATGAATGAACTCCTGAAGAATGATACCAAATTGTATTGGTCAGAACTACGTCAACAATCATTTGACAAAATGAAGCAATGTTTGACAACTACTCCTGTTCTGGTGTACCCAGATTTTGATAAGGAATTTATCTTGTATGTAGGTGCTTCAACCAAGGGAATAGGATACATGTTGGGACAGCGAGATGGTGAAGGGAAAGAAAGAGCTGTTGCGTATGCTGGGAGAGCATTGAGAAAAGCAGAGAAAAACTGGGGCATAACAGAATTAGAAGGTCTAGCATTAGTAGAGGGTATAAGACACTTTCATGTGTACTGGCTTCAAAGAAATACACTGTGCTTACTGACCATATGGCCATCAAAACGTTACAGAATTCAAAGCAGAAAGCAGGTAGAATCGCCAGATGGGCAGTACTAGTCCTGTTACAAGGATAACACAAAGCAGGACGTAAACATTCCAATGCAGATGGTTTGTCTAGAGCCCAGAGCCAGATGACCCTGTTCATGAGGTCATAGT